ATCCTAAAATAGATAACAAATATCCAGAAAATGACTCGTTTGATATCCAAATATAAAATGAAAGAGTGCCAGAAACAGAAAAAGATAGAATCTTGAGCAAGTTTAAACATATATCCTAAAATAGATAACAAATATCCAGAAAATGACTCGTTTGATATCCAAATATAAAATGAAAGAGTGAGAAACAGAAAAAGATAGAATCTTGAGCAAGTTTAAAGTAATTAATCTTAAGAGTTTCTTCGTAAGTTAATATAATTTCTGCAACACCAAACCTTTTGATGTCCTTAACGCACTAAAATTACCTCAGAATGAACTGATAATCAGTATTTTACAGGCAAAAGTAGGTAGAGTATACATTCAATTTAAGAACTTTTCATTTGGGACAGTGTTTTGATTGGTTACCCCCAAGGCGCAAAGCATTATGGGGCATGGGAAATGATAAAAATCGAGTTTATCAGTAACCTAGTCTCCTCTGCAGCCGCTTTCACTGTCGTCACGCAACGCTTTTAGTGTCGTCACGCAACGCTTTCTCCCCTGAGTAGTACTCAGGAGAGAAAGCGTTGCGTGACGACACTGAAAGCGGCTGTGGGGGAGACTATCAGTAACCCCGAGTGAAAGAACTTAACGAACCGGCTGAGTTCTCCTTCAGAACAAAGTCAAGTTCAACCAATCAGAATTGAGGAGACAACTTCGTAATTCAATTAGCATTTCCCGTGATTCTGCCAAGAGAACCGTGAAAACCTAATTCTTCATTCTTTAAATTGATCGTAAATGCTAGTTGAACACATGGTGCAATTCCATTTCAATCGACAAGAGAAATCAACTTTGTACTCAGTTCTTGCTCGAAAAAAAAAAAAAAAATTAAAAAGAGTTGAGCTATGATGGCAACGCGGTCAACCCAGCTGTCCAAACACCAAGCAAACGCAGTATGTCTAATTTATATTATAAAATGTAACTAATTAGTGTATAGAATGAAAGTATTTAAGATAATGGAATAGTTATCAAAACGTCCGGTCACCTCCTGTTTGTTAATTAAAATTTCAAATAATGTTTTCTTAAAATTCTTCAAACTATCATAATACAAGTCACTCTTTCTAAAAAGATATTGCCAAATTGATAATAGTATGCATTTAGAAAAATAGAAAATCTTATGTGGATACCAAAAGAAACTCAAAAAAGTCGATTCCACTTTGCCATACCCCCGAGACATCCGCAGAGCTGAGGCGTCGTATGGACTTCGGACCTGACGGYGATTAAATCCTTCTGCCCTTGGGTGYACGAATTACGCAAGAAAATGTTCTAGCCGAAGCATCAGGGGAGAGACCAGCCGGCCCCCAGACCATATCGGCTAATCCCTTGCATCTCTGCCACGCACGGAATCGGTTGATAATCTGATGTTTAAAAGTCTGGTGCATATTGTTTTCACGGCTATTGTTATRCTGATTAACCAGGAACCGTGGTCCAGTGGAAAAAGCTTGGGCTACCATATCATGACGTTAGGTAAAGTCCAGTTGAGCGCGAACTGTTAGTACCTGGATGGGTGACCTTAAACTTATGCCTACTGAAAAATGTAAGCAGGTTTTTTCCCGTAACTTTCAATCCATTGAAACATTTTAGTTTACGCAGACAAATCGTCGAAAATAAAAACTAAGGAGGCATTTAATCCATGACCGACAGGTTGCAATCATGAGCAAGGTCAATGAAGAGAGTCGTTCGTATGAAGCTGTTAAAGTTGTTAAAGTGCACGCGTTAAGTTATTCCCCTTGTATTGTACCTGACAATCACACTGTTAAGAAATGCGCGTTAAATCCCCCTCTCCACGTTAATTAACCACCCTGTCCCGGTGGGTGGCGGGGCGGAGGTGTCTTAAGCTATGGTCAATGCTTAGCTGCTTAAGCAGCCTCCCAAGTGCATTCAGAACTGGATATACGCACAACTAAGCATTGACCATTGCGTTTATAGCATAGCAAACCGTAGAAAAGTATGTGTTGATCAAAAACAATTCAAATTTTGTTCTAAAGAAATCTCCATTAAATAGCGCGCGCTACTTAATCACATCAGCGTTCACCATCCACTTCTGGATACACGCTCGCGCACGCTAATCAACCAATCAGAGCGCGCGTTATATCATGGCTATGTTATGAGATTGACTTGTGCATGTATATAAGCGCCACCGAAGTAAGAATAATAATAGTATTTCTCTCACGGTCACGCAACGCCTAGCATTACTAACCTTGTCGCAAGTAAGACCTTGCCGTGTACTTCATCTGGTATGTCACGCCATGTCTGTCCATTGTCATCTGAATACTGCACAGTAAGGCCTGGGATAGCTGTCTTCGTAAGAATCTTTCGATTACTGGATCTAGTATATACATTGAGACAGTTTGAGGACACATATATTAAACAAATTATTGTAAACCAATTATAAACCTAGGATTTTAGGGAGTCATGGATGGATGGATGGAAGGATGGAGGGAGGGAGGGAGGGAGGGATGGTGGATGGATGGATGGATGGGATTGGATGGATGGATGGATAAATGGACAGGAAAACCACGGAATCCGTAGAAAACCCTTGAATTAAAAGAGAGACCGAACAAACTCTACTCCAAGACCACATAGGTGAGAGCCAATAGTACCCTAGCACTACACCACCATTTCCCCCATTATTTCATTATTATTTCTCGATAAATACTTTTACTTTAACACTTACTTTGCTCCAGGAACAGGAATATGATATTTAATACCAAGTCTGTCTAGACGTTTAAGTTCTGTATATCCCAAGAAATTCGCGAACTTTTCCCAGTCCTCTGTAGTCTTTTTATCTCTCTCGGTCTCGTCGCTAATGTCTTCCCAGGATGCCTTGTGCCACGCACGCTCTGCGAGCGCTAAGAGTCTTGGGTAAATCATGCTGTCCATTTGGTCAGCGGTGCGTACAGTCTCAGTCCACAGGGCTCCCGCCATACCTTTACAACAACAATACGACAATACCAATAATTGCAAACATTCTTCTAATAATGATAATATTGAAAGATTAAAGATAATCACAAACAGATAGATACAAGGCGAATTATTACGTTAATGATGATGATTAGGTTTATGGAGATACGTGATGCAATAGAATTAAGTTGATTGCCTACTTTTGAACGTTCGATTTGAGCTCACGATGTGCGCGCGCTCAAAAACCGCTGAATAATCTACAAGATTTTATTGAAGAACCATACGCGTTTTGAGCTTCAACAGGGCAAAACCCTCAAATTTTGCACGGGACTCTATATTTTTTAATAGCTTATTTGAATAAACTCTTAAAAATCTAGGTTATATCAACATTTTAGAAAAAGTTAAATATCCTAACACATGAAAAAGTACCGAAACTACAAAATATGATAATGATGGCGAAGAAGATAATGATGGTGATGATGATGTCAAAACGTGTGTTTTCTTTCTGAAGATAGATAAAAAATAGCTCAGAAAATTAGAATTAAGTTTTCTAAAGCTGGTGCCTAGGAATTAGAGAAGTAAATTAAGATTTTCTATGAGAAAAAATCTATTTATCTGAAGTGATCTCTTGAAACATTTTACTGGCTTCAACGTCACTCACAGAGATAATTTATTCATCTCACATGAACTTTCTTCCGACTTTGTGAGCTTGGACTCAAAAGCGCAAAAACTTGTGTTTTCTTTCTGAAGAAAGATCAAAAA